GAACTAAGGTGGGGAGGGGGAGGGGGATTCAGGAGAAAATGGGGTATCCCCCCCCAATCCTTGTGGGTTCTCTACCATACAAGTGGGCCTGGCACAGTGGTTGGCACCACATAACTGGGCAATAATTTTCCCAGGCAGATACTGCTTGGGGGGAGGCAACGCTGAAGACAGGTGGCAAATAAATGTAGACTGGCTGCTGGGTGGGGAGGAGAGAAGGAAGCAGGAAAAGGGGAGGGGCATGGGAGCTTTCAGGAAAGGGAAAAAAATGGGGGGGGGGGAGAAATGCCTCCCGCAAATCCCCGTGGGTTCCCACTGTTTCTTAATACTAATTCTCAATGTGGCCATATCTGTGGATACTTAAATCTGGAGACCGAAGCCACAAACAGAAGAGAGAGATTTTTCTACCCATTTGAAAAAAAGCCCTAGGTTTGCATAATAATCTGAAATCTAAAAGAAAAAGTGGGGGATAAGCTCCCCCCAATAAAGGAAGCAGTGCCTGTAGCATTAAGAAACATGTGCCTTCAGTGGTTGTTGCTAGGCAACCACAACAGTATTGTTATGAAGCCTTGCTTTCCCTCAGTCAAAGGCAGAGAGAGGGGTCAGGGCCCTTTCCAGGGCTGCTTTGGACTTTGAAGGAGGGCTGATCAGGGCCAGTCACACAACCACTGTGCAACTTGACACCAAATGACTCCCATGACCCATCTAGGCCCAGCGGCTCACTTCTCTTCAACAGCAGTCACTCTATAAAAGCTGGTGTGGTGTAGTGGTTAGAGTTTCAGACTAGGATCTGAGAGACCTACTGTTAAGTCCGTGCTTAACAAAGTAGTCAGAGAGTGATTTCAGAAAACTCAGGTTTATTTAGCTCTTCAATCAATTCTTCTGACACGGTACAACTCCTCATAGCCCGAACTCAGCTTCCATTGCGCTGGTTCGGTATTTATACATTCCGGGCTAATGTAGCCACACCTACTGTACATTAAACCAACCTATCAGGTTGTGTGCATGAATGACCAATCATAAGCGGTCCCGCTTACAAACATTTAAATCTGATTGGCCACAATACATTTCGGCGCGAATCCCTGCCGAAGCTTGAAGCTTTGCATGGCTTCTCTATGGGAGGATTCACATACCTCCTGGTGCATTCAGGGCAGCATCTGAATACACTACAAATCCCTCCCCCCTAAGCAAAAACAACTACGAACAATCATAATCACTTAGGTAGGAAGGTGCTCTTCTCGTTCTCTGAGACCTCCTAGGTGGACTAGGCTCAGGGCACATCTCCGTCAGTGGCACTTCGGTCGACTCCGGGACCGCAGAGTCAGGAACACTTCCATCCGTTACGTTCGGTTCGAGAGTAGGGGTCTGCCCTGCCTCTGGAACAGTGCTGATGCCCTCAGGCCCGTCAGCACTCGCCGCCAGGGGAGGTCTCGGAAGGTCCTCGGGGTCTATTGACTCAGTTGGCAACGCGTTGGGTCGGTCAGTCGCCCACCGTTGCCTCAACTGGTCTATGTGCCTACGCCACTTGCGACCATCAGCAAGTCGTACCACATACATTCTGGACCCAACAGTTTCAACAATAGTGGCTGGGAGCCACAAGTGACCACTGGCATAATTTCTCGCATACACCTTGTCATCCTTCTCATATATGCGTACCTTCGTTTGTTCACTCTGCTGTGGTGGTTTAAGGTACTTCAGGTCCGGGTGCAACCTATCTAATACGGTTGCCAGCCTCCGGCCCATCAGCATTTCGGCCGGACTGCGGCCAGTTGCTGAACAAGGGGTAACATGCTGTCTGAGCAAGAACGAAGCTAGCTTTACCCCCCAGTCACCATAAACCAATTTACTCAGTGCTTCTTTGGTGGTTCTTACCATTCTTTCCGCCTGACCATTCGAAGCCGGGTGGAATGGGGCCGATGTAATCTGCCTGATTCCGTTATCAGCCAGAAATTTTTCAAACTCTATCGATGTAAATTGCGTCCCGTTATCACTGACCAATACATCGGGTATACCATGGGTCGCAAACAGGCGCCGCAGCACATTGATGACAGACCCGGAAGTGGTGGAATGCATGTGCGCAACCTCCAACCATTTCGTATACGCATCAACGATAATAAGGAACATTTGTCCCTGAACTGGCCCCGCAAAATCTAGGTGGAGCCTCGACCAAGGTTTTCCCGCCGACTCCCAACGCTGCGGAGTGGCGGTTGACGGCTCAGGCCTAGCCTGCTGACAGGGCTCACACACTCTGACCCAATCCTCGATTTCTGCATCAAGCCCGGGCCACCACACATAACCTCGGGCCAGCGCCTTCATGTGTACCATGCCCGGATGGCCTTCATGGAGTGATTTCAGCACTTTTTGTCTGAGGCAGTGAGGCACCACCACCCGGTTTCCCCACAGTAAACAGCCTTTAGACACAGACAACTCGTTTTGGCGCGCTTTGTACGTGCGAAATTCCGGCTCCATAGCACCCATCGGCCACCCCCTCCAAACCCAGTTAAGGACTCTCGCAATTACAGTGTCCTTAGCCGACGCAGCGGCAATGTCCTTGGAGGTGATGGGTGCTTGCGGCAGTTCTTCGATGGCCAACACAGAGGCCGTTGGTGCAGGGTCCAAATCTCGGCCGGGCAGCGGGCAACGACTTAATGCGTCCGCATGTCCGATGGCCTTGCCCGGCCGGTGCTCCAGGTCATAGTCATAGGCCGACAAAAACAAGGCCCAACGGAGCATTCTGGCAGACATTATATTTGGGAGTTGCCGGTCCGGGGCAAAAATCCCAAGCAGCGGCTTGTGGTCTGTCACAAGCCGAAAAAGTCTGCCATACACGAAATCGTGGAATTTCTTTACTGCAGAAACGAGCGCCAGTCCCTCTTTATCGATCTGGGCATAGTTCTTTTCAGTTTCACTCAGTGACTTTGAATAAAACGCGACGGGGGCCTCCCGCCCGTCTTCCATTACATGACTTAATACCGCCCCCACCCCATAAGGAGAGGCATCTGCGGCCAAGACCAACAATTTCTGGTCATCATAGTGGGTCAACACTGCATTTGATGACAACAATGATTTCACCCCTTCAAACGCCTTTTTCTGTTCAGCACCCCACCGCCATTTTGCGTCCTTGTGAAGGAGCGCATGTAAAGGTGCCGCCATGGACGCCTTGTGGGGGAGAAAGGCGTGATAAAAATTGAGCAGCCCGAGGAAGGCTTGCAGCTCTTTTTTATTCGCGGGGCAAGGGGCATTTTTGATAGCTCTCACCTTCTCGTCTGTGGGGTGTACGCCATTTTGGTCCACTCTGAACCCCAGGAATTCCACGCTATCCACCCCTATCAAACACTTGGATTGTTTTACTTTCAATCCGGCCTTACTGAAACGCTTGAGCACTTCCCTGACCCTGTGCATAAGTTCCTCATCGGATCTCCCGGCAATGAGAACGTCATCAAAATAAGGGACCGTTCCTGGTACCCCCCTCAACAGCCCTTCCATGAGACTCTGAAAAATCCCTGGGGCCACATTCACACCAAATTGGAGCCTGTTTACTTTGAACGCCCCCCTGTGTGTCACAATGGTCTGTGCTTCAGCAGCTTCCTTGGTCACGGGAAGCTGCTGGTCAGCCTGGGCCAAGTCGAACTTCGCAAAGACTTTCCCCCCCCCCCACGATGCCAAGACATGGCTAATTACCGGTACTGGGTACGAGTGCTGTTGCAATGCCCGCTTTATGGTGCATTTGTAGTCAGCACAGATGCGTACTGACCCGTCCGGCTTAACAGGGGTTACAATGGGGGTCTCCCACCGACTGAAGGGAACTGGCTCTAACACGCCCTGCTCGATGAGCTTGTCCAGCTCTGCTTCGATTCTGGGCTTAAGAGGAATAGGAACCTTCCTATACTTGAGGCGAACCGGCCTCACGGCAGGATCAAGTTCAAACGCTACTGGGGGTCCCGTATATTTTCCCAGGCCACCCCCAAACACATCAGTAAATTCCTTATACAGTACAGCCCATTTATTCTTCGTTACACTATTAATGCCAGAAATAGCAATTCCCAACGGTTCAAACCAGTCAAGCCCCAGCAAATTCACTCTGTTCCCCTCAGCCACCAACAATGAAAGGGTCGCCCGCTTCCCCTTAAACTCAACTTCAAACGTATCCCTCCCTGCCAGAGGTATACGCTTGCCCTGGAAGTCGGACACTTGTGTGTCTGCTGGCTTCAGCCGGCGACGACTCCTGGTGGGGAACAACTGCTGCCACGACTTGGACGAAATCACGGTCACCGACGATCCCGAGTCGACCTCCATGCCACACGGAACGCCGTCTAGATGGACCGTCACGTTGATCTTGCCTGTGCCTCCGATTCGTTGGACCGAAGGTGCGCTTGATCGTACGACCTGGCAGCTGGTTTCATGTTGTGCGGCTCGGGAACGTTGCTTCCTGGGCTTGTTTGAGGGCGTTGAAACTTTTGGCGCTCTGCAAGCACGAGCGATGTGGCCCCGCCTTCCGCATGCTCTGCAGTCGACGTCCTTGGTCCAGCAGCTTTCTCTGGAGTGCTTGCCGCCACAGCCGGTGCAAGGAGGAGTGGGCGAAGTCCTCACTTGGGTCCGCTGGTTCGCAGGCCCTTTCACAGCGCAGACGTCTTCAGCCGCGCCCTCACGCTCTCCTTCGGACCCCTGGTGGTGAACGCGTAGCTCTGTTGCAGCCAGACGCTGACGCACCTCACGGGTCGATTTGTCCGCTGTCTCCGCTGCGATGGCTTCATTGTAGGCGTCGGCCCAGGTCAATTTCGCCTTTGCGAACAGGCGCTGCTGCAGTCGCTCGTCCCGCATGCCACACACCAGCCTGTCTCGCAGGGCCTCCTCTACGTCGGCGAAGTTACAAGGTCTGGCCGCTTTACGTAGAGCCGCTACAAAATCGGACACGGTCTCGTTGGGCGCTTGGTTCCTCTTGAAGAAGGCGTGCCGGCTTGCGATCTCCGATGGTTGCGGGGAGAAGTGTGCCTTCAACTTCTCCGTCAGCTCTTTGAACGGCACTGTTCCGATGTCCACTAGTGCTACCAGGGATCTGGCGACATCGAACACGCTCTTGCCACAAGAGCTCAGGAGGGTGGCTCGCTTCTTCTCCTCCGTGGTGATGTCGTTCGCTTCGAGGTGGAACCCGAACCTCAGCAGGTAGGCGTCCCAGTCCTCGGTCGCTGGTTCGAATGCCTCGAACTTCGGACTATTGGCCATAGCTGCGATCGCTGCCACCGGTGCTGGTGGTGCCTGTCGCTGCTCTGCCACGGCGAGCTGCTGCTCTGGGTTGTCCGTCGTTGGGTCGGGACCAGTGGGGCTGCCTACCCGCTCCTGCATCCCATCCTCGTCGCCAATTGTTAAGTCCGTGCTTAACAAAGTAGTCAGAGAGTGATTTCAGAAAACTCAGGTTTATTTAGCTCTTCAATCAATTCTTCTGACACAGTACAACTCCTCATAGCCCGAACTCAGCTTCCATTGCGCTGGTTCGGTATTTATACATTCCGGGCTAATGTAGCCACACCTACTGTACATTAAACCAACCTATCAGGTTGTGTGCATGAATGACCAATCATAAGCGGTCCCGCTTACAAACATTTAAATCTGATTGGCCACAATACATTTCGGCGCGAATCCCTGCCGAAGCTTGAAGCTTTGCATGGCTTCTCTATGGGAGGATTCACATACCTCCTGGTGCATTCAGGGCAGCATCTGAATACACTACACCTACGTTCAAATCCCCACCCTGCTATGGAAGCTCTCCGGGTGACTTGAGACTGGCCATATGTGCTCAGCCTAAAGTACCTCGCTGGGTTGTTGTGAGGACAAAAAAGGAGGAGACAAGAATGATATGAGCTGCTTTGGTTCGCCATTGTGAAGAACGGCAGGGTATAAATGAAACAAATATATATCTATATATATAGCCAAAGATGGGCAGATAAAAAGGTGGGTTGGTGGCTGGGTAGGATGGAGAGAACAAAAGCAGGGAAAGCTGGCAGGTGGAGGGAAGAAATAGTTTGGGAGGGGGGATACATGGGAAAGTGGCATGCCCCTCGCAAGCCCTTGCAGGTTCCACGCTATACAACTGGGCCCAGCCCAGGGACCAACACCACACAACTGGGTTGTAGTTTTCCCTGCTAAGAGGTGCCAGGGGTAGGGAAGGAGGACAACTGAAGATCAGGAGGGATAAAGGTAGGTAGGTTGGTTGGTTGGTGGGAAGGAGAGAAGAAAGGAGGAAAGGGGGAGAGGCTGTGGCGGCTTCCAGGAAGGGGAAAGAGGAAGCAGTGGGGGAAGGGGAAATGAGATGCTCCCTGCAAATCCTTGAGGATCCCCTGCTTCTGTTGAACTATAGCTAGCATTTCTATGGTACCAAAATATTCAAGTTCAAGTTAGCCTTTAGTGGCACAGCCTCACTCTAGCAACTTCCAGGGCCGGAAGCACCACACAACCTTCCCGGGGGCCCTCTGTGGAATGTGCAGGGCCCAGAAGGGGAAAGGGCAGCCAACGTTACCCTTTCTGAAACAGGCAGTCAGGGAGCAGGTTAAGGTGAGTGAGACTCGGGGCCAGCACCTTTAACCTTAAAAGAAATGGACTCACTCCAAAGGAACATAAGAATATAAGAGAACATTAGAGAAGCCAATGATGGATCAGGCCAGTGGCCCATCCAGTCCAACACTCTGTGACACAGTGGCCAAAAACACCAGGTGCCATCAGGAGGTCCATCAATGGGGCCAGGACACTAGAAGCCCTCCCACTGTTGCCCCTTCCCCCCCCCCAAGCATCAAAAATACAGCGCATCACCTGCCCCAGCCTGTGAGTTCCTATCTATACCTTGTGGCTCATAGCCACTGGTGGATCTCTGCTCCATATGTTTATCCAGTTCCCTCTTGAAACCATCCATGCTTGTAGCCACCACCACCTCCCATGGCAGTGAATTCCATGTGTTAGTCACTGTTTGGGTGAAGAAGTACTTCCTTTTACCTGTTCTAACCCGACTACTCAGCAATTTCATTGAATGCCCATGAGTTCTTGTATTGTGAGAAAGAGAGAAAAGTACTTCTTTCTCTACCTGCTCTATCCCACGCATAATCTTATAAACCTCGATCATGTCACCCCTCAACCATCATTTTTCCAAGCTAAAGAGCCCCAAGCACTTTAACCTTTCCTCATAACGAAAGTGTTCTAACCCTTTTATCATTCTAGTTGCCCTTTTCTGTACTTTTTCCAATGCTATAATATCCTTTTTGAGGTGTGGTGACCAGAACTGCACACAGTATTCCAAATGAGGTTGCACCATCGATTTATACAAGGGCATTATGATACTGGCTGATTTGTTTTCTGTTCCCTTCCTAATAATTTCCAGCATAGCATTGGCTTTTTTCATTGCCGTCGCACACTGTCTCGACATTTTCAGTGAGTTATCTACTACGACTGCAAGATCTCTCTCTTGGTCAGTCTCTGCCAGTTCAGACTCCATCAACGTGCATTTATAGTTAGGATTTTTTTGCTCCAATGTGCATCACTTTGCACTCGGCCACATTGAACCCCATTTGCCATGAATGGATGTCGAACTCAGTCCCATGGTTGGGCCTCCTCAGCTCCCCAAGGCCCCAAGACCAGTGTTCCCTCTAAGCTGAGTTAGTGTGAACTAGGTCACAGTTTTTAGACTCCGGCTCACACCTTTTTGTGTTAGCTCAGGAAGGATGGCTCCAGAGCAAACTAAGGTATGCAGCAGCCAAATTGCTCACTCACAACTTTAATGCTCGTAGCTTCCAAAGTGGCAGCTTGCAATTCTTTGTCCTTTTTAGTAGCCATTTTAGGAGTTGAAAAAGACGCAGCCCTCTGTCTCTGTCTCAAATCCGTTGATATTCTCCGATGGGGTCCACTTATATAAATCAATAGTCCTCTATGCGCTCATCCGAACCGCTATATTTTCGCTCTTCCAAATCTCCTTCTAGCCCCTAAAAATTGATTTTAAAGTTCAGTCCTCCTCAAAATGTCGGGCGTAATATCTCTATGGTCTACTTTATAGTGTAGAGTAGGCCTCTCCTGCCACTTCCTATTCTTCACTCATTTGCTTCCCCGTAGAGCTTCTGGTGTTCCGCTTTTCCTGTCCCCCATCTTCTTCCGGCCCCTCAATTTCCTGTCCCCAGGCTATGTCTAGGCAGAGTCACAAATTTTCTGTCCACTGCATCATTTCCGTTCTTTGGTATTTTGTGCTGTCGCGATTTTAAACGTGGGTTTCAGGTTACTATCTTTCCCACCACCACAGGAATGCAAAACAAAGTTCTTTTTCTCGCTTTTTCTCCTTTGTTATTTACTTTTAAATGATCAATTTTGCTCAGTCTTTCTTTAAAATCTTTAAAGACTTATCCGGATATCTCCCTCGGCATTTCCAAGCTTCTCCCGGTAAGTAATACTGTAATCGTTACCTTGTTTGTTTACTTTGGTTTTCGCACTGTCTCTGTCTGTCCAAATTATTCCCCCTTAGTCCATGAGATCAGGAAATGACAACTTTAAGCTGAATTCTCAGCTCGGTGAGCTCCTTTAGTGCTGAATGCAATGCCCGCTTCAGGAGAGGGGATCAAAGTGCAAAACAAGTCTCCTCCGAGGCTTGATCACACCAATCTCAACTCTCCCTAGGGTCTTCATGCTTGCCAGACTCTCCCCCTGACTGGGGAAGGTTGCGTTGGGCTGATAGATAGCCTAAACTGTCGAAAGGAGCCCCCGTCCACCCTGCGCGATTGCAAGATGCGTCAAATCACCATTTCCCCCCAACCGGAAGCCTCGTATTAGTCTTATTTTATTAGTTTTATTGTATTGGCCTTGCTTTGGTGAGGTGGGTTGGGAATGTCATTTCTAAATGAAGGGGAGCTGCAGCATGGGGCGAGGAGGGGCTCCAGCCCTCCCCCACAGTTGCCCCAGGCAAGGAGCTCTTTATATAAGTTTGGAGCAGCATAGCTTCAGAGCACTCTCCATGCTGATCCAAAATTATGTCAAGGACTCCCTCCAGGGCTCCGGGGGCTGGGGGCGGGCGGAGGAGGAAACCCTTCATGCTGCAGTTCTAAACCCCAAATGGCTCGCTTTGATCTTTGGAATGGTAT